TAATTATAAAATAAGTCTCTAATTATAACAAATAATTACATTTATTATATGTATGACAAATAATTCATAGAAGTTAACAAATATTAAGTAATAGATAAAGTTGAAGCCAATTATTTATCCATGAAAATTGAAGTGCACTTTTCCAATGCACAATTAAGAATAACATTTAAACATTTATTTGTAACAAACTTTTTTTTGCATATATTGTTTTAATGTGTATTCACAAATTCCTAAGATTGTAATTAATATATAAAGATTAAAGTTAATTAAACTACAGTACAATAAATGTTAAGACAATATCTCAAATAATGTGAAAGTAAATTATCTTACCATTAATACAGTAATTAATGCAGCAGGTTTGAGCGGGAAAATTCCAGCTGCTCTGCTTTAATATATATATAGATATCACACATATAAAAATAATGACAATTTATGTCAAGGAAACATATAGAAAAAATAATTTTCAATCACATCTCATGTGACAATATATTATTGTACGATGTTTTTCTGGCATTAGTATGATCCCAATGAACTAATTTTATATAGCTACTAATACATTGCGTCTATAAGCAATGATTTAGTTGGGTTTCAATATTCAATTTCATATATTATTTCGGGAATACGAACTATTCATAATAAATCATAAAAAAACTACATCTTAATATGATTTACATATTAGTTCTCAGACCTTACTCATAATGCAATCATTCTTTTACACGATATGTTCGTGTTTTATCCTTCAGGGTGTATATAAAAATTTTATTGTCAACGTGTAAGTTATAAACAAATAAAATATAGATTGTTATATTATAGACCACCTATGTATAAGTCTAATTATTCTATCCGTTAATTCTAATAATTTATTCATCAATATTTAATTTTAGCATCCTTTTCGGCTTATTAGTATATTTATGTGTGTGTGTGTGTGTGAATCTTATACATTTGAATATATTGATATTCATTTAAGAACAATCTGATAATTTCATAATTGCTTAATTTTAATTATTTCACCTGCCGATACTTTTGCAGATATTGAGATAATATTAAAATTGATAAAAAAAACATAATATATGATGATTGATTGAATGTCTTGAAAGTTACTATGAGAGAAATACACAATTTTTTCTAGCGCATACATCAAGCCTTGATCGTTACCTTAATAGTTTATTTATGTAGATGGGGCCGTTCACCTAGAAGGTAGAGTACCCGCGCAGATAATGTGTTGTAATAAGGTACTAGTACAACACCCGTATAAATACACGGGTGCTTGTTAAAAAATTTATCTTAAATTTTAAAATTAATGAGAAAATTATATTAAAATTAGTTTATTTTTTTACAAAAAAAAAATATATTACTATACATTTTAGAATGATATGTGTTACTTACTACTTACATGTGTTATATTATATTTGTTTTTATAACTTATATCATTATCATATAACTACTTGAAATATAAATATATTAGTTGATAAATAATTTTATTTTTCAAATTAATATAAAAA